CACACACACACACACACACACACACACACACACACACACACACACACTGAGGCGCAAAGTCAACCTTAGGAGTCATTCCTCAAGATGCCATCCACCGTGTCTTCTGAAACAAGACCTCTTCCTGGTCTGGAGCTTACCAGTTAGGCTAGGCTGGCTAACAAGTCCCAGGGATCCACCTGCCTCCCCAGCATGGGGAGAGCATCATGCCTGGCTTTTTTTACATGGGATGTGGAGGCTCAGGACCCCCTGCTGTGTGGTGAGCACTTCGCCTACTGAGCCACCTTCCCAGCCTCTCCAGTGTTCTCTGAAGCTGTGAGGCAGATGAGAGCCTCAAGACTCAGGCTGTCACCTCCAGGAAGCTGCCACTCCCCTGCTCTTAGCCAGGCAAGGCACTTCTGTTTTGGCAGCACTGGGCTGCGGTATCGCCCCTAGCGTGGTGTATTTGGAATATCTCTTCTTCCACATCCTCTGTGGACAGCTGGCGACTTCAGACTAGGGATAGTGTGTGTTCTTCTTGGTCATCATCAGTCCTCCAAAACCATCAGCCATGTTGTACCTTTTCTAGGAAGGACTGTGGAGCAAATGGACAGACACTGAGTAGCGGTACATCCTATGCACTCGGTTCCTTTTCATGCCCCACCTCCTCACCCTTTTTTGAGATTTTTCGGTTTGGACGTGGAATCTGGCAGCTAAACAGTTTCTCCTTTACCAGGAAGGATTCCAGCATGGCTGCGGGGGACCCTGCTTCGCAATGGGCCTGGGATGCACTCAGTGGGGGAGAGCAAGTACAACCACTGGTTTGATGGCCTGGCCCTTCTCCACAGCTTCACCATCAGAGATGGTAAGAGCCCAGCATGAGTTTGCCGTTGCCATGGTAACAAGTACTAGACAGACTCTGTGGCCTGAAACAACAGGAGTTTGTTGTCTTTCCATTCGACGGGGGGTGGGGATCAGAAGTCTGAAATTGATCTCACTGGGGCAATGCCAAAGCATTGGCAGGGCTGCTTTCCTTCTGGAAGCCCTGGGAGACCCCAGTGCCTTGCCTTCACAAGAGTTCAGAAGCCGCCTGCACCCTGGCCTTGTGGCCCCAGCCCTGTCTCTAACCATGGGCATAATACTTGCATGTTTTTCAGTCTCTATGTCTCTTTTTCCTCACACCTCCCTTCTCCTTCCCTCTCCTCCTCTATTCTGCCTCCCTTCTCCTTCCCTCTCTTCTCCTCTCCCTCTCTTTTTTCTCCCCTCCCCTCCTCCTATCTTCCTCTTTCTTTTCTATCTGCTCTTTCCTACCTTGTCCTTCTCTTTTCTCTCCCCACTTCTTGATCTTTCCCCACCCATCAGCATGCCTCCCTCTTTGACCATCCCCCTTGCATATCCCTCTCATGAGGGCTCTCTAATGCCACCATGACCAGTCAGACAGCCCCAGAGCTTCAGCTGAGTAAGAACTACAAAGCCCCTTTCATCCCACTGGTACGGCAGGGTTTGGATACAGGCTGATTTTGGGAAAAGCTTTTCCCAGCCCACTGCAAACAACTCTTTGGAAAGGTACCCAGGGTTCCTCATCCTTTCATCTTTCGATAGAATCTGTCATGGGATGAGCAACCACAGGAAAGATGACAGGCTGGGAACTCAGACACGCCTCTGATCAAAACAGAAAACACAAAACAAAAATACCAAGCTGGGAACACTGCTTTCCCTAACCATCATGGCATCTATGACCCAATCCTCTAAGTGTCCTCAGGGTGCTAACCAGGCCTCTCATCAACTCTGGAACCCCCAGTGGCTCCCCATTGTATAACAAGTTCCTCCTGCCTAGCTCAGAAGAGAGCATGTGCAGGGAACTTGGGGTGAAGGAATAAAGAAGAAAATGGGGAGTGCTGTTCATTTTTTTTGAGCACTTTATGGGGAGTCTTTTATTTTTAGATTTTTGTTTCACTTATTTTAGTTCTCATCCAAGAATGTATCAGATGTTTAACCCATCACCATATTCCTCTACACTCTTTTTCTAACCCGCTCTCATCCCTTTTGTTCCCCTAGACAATTTCTCTTCTTCTTTCAATATGTGTGTGTATTTATGTACATGATTTTATGTGACTATATAAAAGATCCAGGAACCACAAATGAGAGAAAACATACAATATTTATCTTTCTGAGGCTGATTTGACTCACCTACTACAATAATCCCCACCTCCACCCATCTTCCTGAAGTGACAAAACTTCATTCTTTACAGCAGAAAAAAAAATTGAATTGTATACGCATGCCATATTTTTGTTACCCATCCTATGTGGTTGGACACCTGGGCAGTTTCCATGACAGTGATTGAGCTGCAGTAAACATGGATGTGCTGGTGTCTCCAGAATATGTTGTCTTAGGGTCCGTTGGGTAAATACTCAGGAGTGGTGTAGCTGGGTTATATGGTACCTTGAGTTTTAGTTTAGTTTTTTGGGTATTTTAAGATATATTTTTAGTTGTGTGCATGTTCCTGTGTCTGTGTGTATGTGCATGTGAATGCAGCACCTAAGGTGTCCAGAAGAGGGCATTGGCTCACCTGGAGCTGGAGTTACAGGTGTTTGGGAGCCACCCAATGTGGGTGCTGGGAACTGAACTCAGGTCCTCTGGAAGCGCAGCAGGCACTCTTAGCTGTGGACCCACCTCTCCAGCCCTTATTTTTTGTTTTTTGAGACACCTCCAACTGACTTCCATAACGGTTAGACTAGTTTTCATTCCCACAGGAGTGGATCCTGGCCAGTTCTTATTGGTTTCCTGACCACCATTTGCACTGGGGTGATCTGGACTCTCAGTGAGCTTTGTAGTTCATTCCTCTGATGGCTAGTGAGGTTGGACATCTTTTCATGTTCACTGGCATTTCCTGTTGGTATTTTATGCTTTGCAAACTGTTCACATTATTAAGCGCCCCCCCCCCTATTTTAAGAAAGTGAGGGGCAGGATGGGCGTTGTTGTGCACGCCTTTAATATCAGCACTTGGAGGTGAATCTCTGTGACTTTGAGATCATTCCGGTCTACAGGGTTCCAGGACAGCCAGGGCTAAATAGCAATACCTTGTCTCAAAACAAAAACAAGAAAAGAAGTGAGGGGCTGGAGAGATGGTTCAGTGGTTAAGAGCACTTGTTACTCATCAAAGACCAAGTATGATGGTGCACACCTTTAGTCCCAATGCTCAGGAGGCAGAGACAGGAAGATCTCTGTGACTTTGAGGCCAGACTGGTCTGCATAATGAGTTCTAGGACAGCCTAAGCTACATAGTGAGATCCAGTCTCAAAACAAAAACAAAATCAAAATGTAGCAAAGACTGGCTAAAAGGGAAGGAGCAGAGAGGACAGGAGTTGGAGAAGGACAGAGATTTCAAAATAGAAAGCTTTCTTTGAAGCAGTGACCGTGAGTGCTGTCAGGTCTCTCAGCAAAGACACTGTTTCCAGAAGATAAAGTCATCCCAGCAGGATTTAAGTATCGGTGTGCATGTGTGAGAGTGTGTGTGGAACGTGCATGGGGAGATTGTAGTGTGTGCCTGTGTGTGTGGCATGTGTCAGGGTCTGTGGGCACACGCACGTGTGTGTGCATGGATGTATGGTGCATGTTGGGGGAAGCTGGGGTATACACGTGTGTGGTGTGGGTCAGGGTGCATGGGTGTACACAGCATGTATGGTGTGTATTAGTGTGTGTGGGCGCATACAAGTGGGGGTCAGAGTGTATGGCTGCACAGTGTGTTTGGTGTTTTATGTATACGTGGGTACATACCCACAATCCCACAGGCCTACCTTAATCACAAAGCTACCAGATTTGACCCAGTTCTTGGAGACACCAAGCATGAGGTTTCTGTTGACTGTGTCCCTTCAGATGGGATGTGGGACTTGAGAGAGCAGGGTGGACGGTGGTGTGATTTTACTCTCACACTCATGGTCCAGCGTCAATCTTGAGCATTTCCAGAGCTGCTTTCTCCCACGGCCTCCAGTGCTCTGGGATGCCACAGCTCCGTGTTTATAGGAAGCGAGTGGCCTGGCCTGAGAGTTTACATTTAGAGTGAAAAGAATTCACCTTTCAAGCCAAGCATCCTGGAGCCCAAAAGCCTTAGTGAGAGCCACGTGGACAGTGGCACCCAGAAAGACTGACCCAAGAAGGACAGGCCAGCTCTAAGGTGGGTCTTTGTTCAGTGAAGCACTTGGCTTAGGACGAGCATTAGCCTCGTCCCCCAGGAGACCTTCCAGCCTTAAGAAGCAAGGGTTTTCCTTGACCACCTACAAATTCAGCCTCCAACACATATGTATAAGTTACCTCTATTACTGTGACAAAACACCTGACAAAAAAAAAAAAAAAAAAAAAAAAACTTAAAATGGAAGGAGGGTTTATTTGGGGCTCACAGTTTGTCAAGGAAGGCCGGAGAGCAGGAGGGCGAGACACGCTGGTTACACTGTATCCATAGTCAGGAAACAGAGGGATGAATGTTCAGCTTGTTCTCTCCAAACTCCACATCAAGCCCCCCAGCCCGTGGGATGGTCCTAACCACTCTCAGAACGGGTCTCCCTCCCTCAGTGAAACCCCCCTGGGAACGGCCTCTTAAGATCTGTCCAGAGCTGTGTCTCCTGTGTCTCCGGACGTTGAGAGCGAAGGGGAACCGTCAGAACGTGGACGCTGTGCACCCTGCGGCCACACGTCTGAAAGCATCTTTCCTCGCTGAAATTACGGACTCTTGGAACTGGGGAGATGGCTGCCTGATGGCTCATGACGGCTAGTGTTCCTACCATGGTCATCATTTCCCCTTAAGTATAAAATGGACGTGGCTTCCATTGAAAGGTACTCTCAGTCCTTTAGAGAAAGGTATGAAAATACACCCCAGAGGGCCTGTCATTGCATGGGATGCTCCTCGTACCCCCTTTACTAACTGAGATGTCCCCTGTGTGAGTGTATTTTTAGTAGAGTCAAACTGACTGTATTGCTGTGTTCAGGCCCTGCCGAAGAGAGGCCATTTCCATGTTCATTACCAGCCTAGGAATTCACTGCTCTTAACCTTTCTACACCTCAGTTTTATTAGGTGGGAATGGATCTGTGGTCACCTTTGTGCTTCGTGTGCTAAGAAGCTTTACATCCAAGTGCTTGTAACTTCTCTTCTGTTTCTGTTGATTGGCGACTTAGGGTGTTTGGTTTTTGTTTGTTTTTTATTCAGAATGCTTTTATTTATAACTTTTTGTTGATTCTTTGTGAATTTCACATCACACACCCCAATCCCATTCATCTCCCCATCCCTTTGTTATTTGCCCTCCACCCTTGCAACCTCCACCCCCCACCAAAAAAAAAAAATAATAATAATAATGAGAAGAAATCTTTCCGTGAAAGCTACAGTTTGTCACGTTCTGTCTCACAGTATGTCCTTTGGTCCAAACAGCTTTACTTGCAAATGTTCATTGCAATGAGTCATTGGTCTGGTTCAAGGCCTCTGGCTCCTGCTACACCCTCAATACTGGATCCTCACTGGGACTCCTCTCTGATATCCTGTTGTTGGCCTGTGTCATGGAGATCCTGCCGCTTTGGATCTGCAGGACCGGCTCCTTCATGCTCTCCAGCAGTTCATAGATGGGGCAGATGTTGGGGTGGACGCACTCAAAGCCCTGGATCTGGGCCCGGGTTGCAGCTGAGCTGGTCAGCATTGTCGGCTCCCCCACACCCACACTGCCAGGCCCAGTGCTCAAGCACTGCCCTGGCTAGCTCACACAGCACCGCAGCCAGCAAGGGGCAGGGTCCACTGAGTGCTGCAGCCGGAAAGGGGCAGGACCTGCTCTCCAGTTCTCACGTCCTTGAGGCCAGCTCACCCACACCCACACCCACACCCACACCCACACCTCCAGGACCAGCTCCGCTGTGCTGCCCGGGTGAGGTGTGGGGCTGCTGTCCCTAGCGAAGCAGCTAGTGAGGGACAGGGACAGCTCTCCTGCTCCTGTGCCCTTTGGGCCTCCCCCTCCCACCTGCTACAGGGACAAGGGGCAGGGAGTGGGAGGTGGGGAGCAAAACATTTCTTCTTATATTTTATTTATTTGTATATATGTGTGTGTACACAGAAGTACAAGCATGAACCAAGGGTCACGGGGGGTGGGGGGTGGATAGAGGAGGAGCAGTTCTCTTCTTCTACCATGTGGGCTCTTCTCATCCTTTATTGTATCTATTTTATTTTATAACCCACTTAGTTAAATTGGTGCTACCTGTATGTACATATGTGTGGGGGTCACCGGAGCCTGGAAAACTTTCAGGGATCATACCTCTAAGGATAACTCTCTCTCTCTCTCTCTCTCTCTCTCTCTCTCTCTCTCTCCCTCCCTCCCCCTCCCTCTCCCCTAGCAGCCCACAACTGCCAGTAGCTCTTCAGCTAGGAGTGGAGGGTTGCTAGCCCATCCCTATGCTTGTTGACTGTCTTAATGTCATGCAGGCAAACATGGCTGCTGAGCTCATGAGGGCAGCAGTTTTATTGAGTCCAGAAGACACCATTTTACCTCTGTCCTCTCAGCCTCTAGCTCTTAAAATCAAAGCCATAATCTCCCTCTCCCCCTTTCTCTCCCCCTCTCCCCAATACATACACACAGAAAAAAAAAAACAAAACCACACATCCACTTCTGTAAATGTGGCCAAACGAACCTATGCTCCAAATTCCATTCTCACTGTAGGGTGCGCTTGCATGAACAAGGCTGGTCTGGGTCCGAAGACCTCCCTTCGGCCCCCAGAAAAGCCCCTTGAATGACTGGCATCAATTTCAAAGGTCCCGAAAGGTGCCAGGCTGACAAGCACCTGCTTCTGTTTCAGGGGAGGTCTTCTACAGGAGCAAATACTTGCAGAGCGACACCTACAAAGCCAACATCGAGGCCAGCAGAATCGTGGTGTCTGAGTTTGGAACAATGGCCTACCCAGACCCCTGCAAAAACATCTTCTCCAAGTAATATCCCCTTCTGAATCTTGACAACTTCTTGCTTTTTTTCATATTTTTGATTGCTAAAACAGTCTGTATTTTCTACCCTAAAAGTTTCCTTTGGGGTAGATAAACTCCATGTGGCCAGCCTGTAATCACAGATGCTGTGTACTCCTTGATCAGAGGTGGGAAGGGAGGTGAAGGGCATCTGACAGTGTCAGATGTTCGCCTGCCCAGCTGTAGGAAGTATTTGGGCATTATCAATCAAAATTACAAATGTGTGTTCCCTTTGGTCTAGAGATATGCTTGCTCATGTCTGAAATGACAAATAGATGAAGTTATTCTTGGCTATGTCATTTGTTATGATAAAAGCTGCAAACGACACAAATGTCACTGCCAGAAGTCTGGTTGAATTGCTGGCTGTACTGTCCAAAAAGAAAATCTAAGATCTATTAAGTTAACAAGTTGCGGTTGTTGTCGATGATGATGACGATGGACATGATGATGTTTTAAAGCAGGTTAGGGCTGGGAAGATGGCTCTTAGGTAAGAGCACTTGTTGAAAGCATGGAGTCTCAAGTTCGAGTCCCCAGAACTCTTGTAAGAACTAAGCCCGGTCACGAGCCTGTTACCCCAGCACAGTGTGAGGTGGAGACAGAAAGTTTGCAAGGTTTTTCAGACTGCCAGCCTAGCTCCAGGTCTACTGAGAGACCTTGCCTCAAGAAAGTGTGGTAGAGACTGAGAGGCAGGACGGCTGATGTGTGCCTCTAGTTCACTGTGCACACTTATGCACAAATGTGCATAAACTACACATACACCTTTTTCTTCAAACAAGGCACATAAATGTATTCTGTATTCAGAGAGGGAAGAACAGCAGGAAGAGTCTATATGTGTTTTTGCTTGCACAGGACACAGATCTGATAGCACAGTTAAGGAGGTGGGAAGCTGATGAATGGGAGGATGGGGAGACCTTTCTGGAACGCATCTAAAGTCATCTGGGTTATGAAGCAGATGTGCGTATTACACATTCAACAATTAAATTATGGCTAGAAGGTCAAGCCTGCTCTCATTGTCTCCCTTCAGATACACTTCAGACAGAACTATGCAAAGATTCAGGGTGGATTGGCCCAAGATAGGAAAAGTGCTTCTGCTTTTCTGGGGCTGACATCATCCATCCTTGGAACAGGGCGGCTTGCCCTTGCAGAGCGGGCAGAGAAAGGGGAGTCCGTGGGTTGGAAGGACTTCAAAACCACACCTGGAGGAGAGTCCCTGCAGTTACATCCTCTGTCGGTAGGGGGAGCACCACTCAACGCTTATATCCAGTGTTTGCCAGTTGTACCAATAAATCCTCTTGGGCTCTCTTTTTACCAGTTTGTAGTTCGCTATTTGATGAAATGACCCACGAGTCTTAACTAACATGAGCTTGTTTTCCTTTTGCCAAAATTAATTCCGGGGTGAGGATGTAGCTCAGTGTGTGGAATGTTTGCGCAAAGCCCGGGGTTTGATCTGCAGTGCAGTGGTTAGTCTCTCCCTGAACTTGGAGCCAATCTACCTGCCAGCATGTCCCCAGCACTCCTCCTGTCTCCACTTCGCTTTTGGGTTACAGGCATGAGTGTGACCATAGCTAGCCAAGCCCTCAGGAGGTGGAGGCTGGATAACCAGACGTTCAAGGACACCCTTGGGTACACTGCAAGTCTGAGGCTAGCCTGGGACAAATGAAACCTTGTTTCAAAAGAAAAACAAAAAACAATCAAACAAACAACAAAAAAACACACAAATAATTTCTTGAACAAATCTGAAGCACTCAATGGGGTTCTGCCAAAGCAGAGCTTTACTGTTTTGCTAGCTTTGAGGGGAGGTGGGAGGCATTCTGGGTATGCGTCTGATATCTGCAAGGCTACTTAAAATAGCTGGATGCATACCAGCTCCTGCTGCCTCTAGCTGAGGAGACCCTGCACCTTCGACACTCAGGAGGAGTGTCATGTGACCGCACTGCCCAGCACCTCACTTGCCATGTGGGGAACCTGACACCTCAGTCCTCCAGAGTCCTCGGGTGACCCACTGAGACCCAGAGTCTTTTGTCTGTTGCTGAAGCCGAACGCAGTAAATGGTAAGAAGGCGAGTCGCCGAGAGCAGAACTGTCCCGCTGGCTGGGAACAGCCACTAACACAACCCGTGTCCTTTCCAGGGCTTTCTCCTACTTGTCCCACACCATCCCTGATTTCACGGACAACTGCCTGATCAACATCATGAAGTGTGGCGACGACTTCTACGCGACCACGGAGACCAACTACATCAGGAAGATCAACCCACAGACTCTAGAGACCTTGGAGAAGGTATTGTAGGCTTACGGTCAGCATCCTTTCCTGACCCAAGAAAGGAACCCCACTCTCCACCCCTGGGGGGAAAACAAGCTGTCTACCAGGAGCTCACTCCTCTGAGGCCTTCAATTATCACCCGCTCTAGCATGGCACTAAGCAGGGACTGCATGATGTCCGTCTTTGCAGCTGCATTCATTCCCAGTAGTTGCTATATACAGTACAGGCATATGCTGTTGAAGTATATTTCAGTTGACCATGGGACACTTGCATGATGGGATGAGATGTTCCATCTAATGCCACTGTAGTCACCTTGTCTGATGAACTATAGGATGTCCACGTGGTGAAATCTCCTCATGATGGCCTTCTCATGTGTCCGCATAGGGCGGGAGAGCTGGCTCAGTGGCTAAAAGCATGTATTGCTCTTACAGATGATCTTTCAGTTCTCCAGCTCCGGGGGATCTGATGCCCCTTCTGGCCTGGGTGGGTACTGCACTCATACATATACATAAACACATACACGTACAAATTTAAAAATACATAAAAACAAATTTTTAGAGCATATCCTAATCCCTAAAAGTTGTGTAGACTAAGTGGCTTAAAATAACAGACCTTACTATCCTGTGTTTATGGAGGTTACAATTCTAAATCTAATGTGTCAGTAGAGCCAGGCTCTGGCAGGCTGTAGGGTAGTATCCTTCCTGTGGTTTCCAGCTCCCACACTTATCACCCACTCTCGGCGTTACTCAGGTCATAACCATGTCACTTGAGTCTCCACCTCCTCAGTCCCATGGTACTCCCTTCATGTCTGTGTGCTTCAACTTCCCGTGTTCTATAAGCCTACAAGTCATGAGGCCACAGCCCACTCTCACACAGTATGCCATCACCTTGTGGTGATTACACATTCAAAGACGCTACTGCCATGTGAGATCGAATTCACAAGCGCTGGGGTTAGGACTTCCTCCTGTATGTTTGGAAGATGGGTACAACTCAGAATCCTAGCCATAGTTCTTATAGGACCCAGGGGGCTCTACCCACAGTGAGCTGCAGAGGGAGATATTACTCAGAGAACAAGGGCACCGGCAGACAGAACTACTTCCAAGGGAGCATTGGGCCAGCATCACCATGAAATTTAACAGACCCCGCTTCAGTTTACTCCGGCTGCTTGTTCAAAGCTGTAATGTTGTCTTAAGGCATTTGAACGGTCTGCTAAGTTGAATACTTTTCTTAGCTGGAAAATTACATCCAATTCCACATAAACTAGGTAGCAAGGGCCCAACTGATGCATACTGGGAAACACCGGTAGGCCAGAGCCCTACCTAAGTCTTGGCTGGCTATGTTGTCCTGGAGAAGGGCATACAACTAGTCCCTAGCCATCCCATTGTTTTCTGGCTGTGGTCTGCTCTGAGCAGGGATCATCGGTCAACCTGTTTGACTGATTCCTGAATTAAGGATTGTATAACCTCCCCTTCCAGAGTAAAACTGTGAGTGTCCTGGAGAGCTGCAGCTCTGCCTCTGTGACTCCAACAGGATGAATTCAAATGACTTAATAGGATTGACATAGAGCAGTAACTGAGACTGGCTGGGCGGTGGCAATCTAGCTGCCCCCATCGTTGTCAGAGCCTTCTTTCATGAGGCACCCAGTCTCTGTATGTTAAGGATCTTAACAAATTCAGGATTTGGGATGGAACTACAGGCCATACAAACACACACACAAACAAAACAAAATGCTTGTTCACTAGCTCCCAACAACTGACTTCTGCCACAGAGGTAATACAAGGTCATATCAGATCTTGAGAATAGACATCTCTCTAAAGGCAAATTATACCTTTCCTCCCCAATCAGGAGATATGCAGAGAGATACACCCTCATCCTAGACCTAGGCTCATCAGGTGCTTATGGGGCTCCATCTTCTCTTTACCAAAAGGAGTGGCTTTTGTATTTGGCAGGTTGATTACCGGAAGTACATGGCTGTAAACCTGGCTACCTCACACCCTCATTATGATGCAGCTGGAAATGTCCTTAACATGGGCACGTCCATCGTGGACAAAGGAAGGACAAAATACGTGGTCTTTAAGATCCCTGCCACACCACCAGGTAGGTCACTCTGGGAACCTAACAAAGAAAAGACAGCCCGGTGACCCTAGCTGAGGAGTCCGGGTTTGTGTTGGTCACACTACTCAGAGCAGGACTTTCCTCCAAAGATTATTCAGATGACCTTAAATTTGGTTTTGTCGTTTAGGCGAATCCAAAAGTCCTTTGGGGGAAGAGCTCGGTTTTCTCCTTGAACATGAGACATTTCTGAGATTATTTTGGATAAAAGAAATACTGTCATGATTTTAATCTCCTGCTTTTCAGGCTCCGATTCATGAATTCGCTATTTTATCTATCTGCTCACCCATCCATTCACCTCTTTAGCCTTCCATCTATCTACCCATTTGTCTACTCACCTACTCTCTCAACCCCCATCCATCCAGCTATCCATTTACCCATCCACCTCTTCATCCACTCATTCACCTGTGCATCCATCTGCTCACCCATCACTCAGTTCACTCACTGCCCATCTGTTTACTAAACCATCCATCCATCTATGCATTTATCCACCTATCCATCCATCCATCCATCCATCCATCCATCCATCCAAACACCTACCTACTTACACATATATCCACCCAGCCATGTATCCAATCATCTATCCATCCGTCTGTTTAGCCTGTTCTAACATTTTCTCTAGATACTAGTTTAGTCATTTTTTTTTACGTCTTCTGTCAAACTATTTGTGTGAAAGGATTGTGCCGCCCCTCCATCCTGCAGCCAGGCTCCCAAGGCTGTCGGGGTGCTCAGCTCTGCTGGGATCCATTCCAGATCCACACCCTGTTCCCAGGGCCTTCTGGACCTCCTCCTCTTAGGGCCGGGTCCTGGAGCAAAGCCCAGGCCAGTGATTGATTGCGTGTTCCCGAGGGGGAAGAGGGTGAGGCTCCCAACCTGTGTTTGTCTAGGACCCTCCTGCTTGCCACACCCAGCAGATGAAGCCCCAAAGGGCGTCTGACCTGACCTTCTGGCCTAGGAAACAAGTTTCTATCTGTGACCCTGACAGTCCCTGCCTGCTCCCTGCCCCTACAGTCTGTAGGAAACTACCCAGGTCAGCCAGAAGCTGGAAACACAGCCTCCCCCAGGTCAAAAGATGCCATGAATATTATTAAGTGAAGCTCGTTACTTAAGCTGATGAAGGATGTGTGGTCCAATCGAGCATCTTAGAGACAGCCTGGGGGCTTCTAGGCATTTGTGTCTGCTCCCTCGTATCACAGGGAACTGTAAGGCTCAGAAGATTAGGTGACAGAGTGTGGGTCACATGGCTTACAGGAGCCCTGACGTTATGCAAGGAGCACATGCTCTCTATGCCAGATCTGGGCCTTTCATCTCAGTTCGCTCTGTGTTCCTCTTCATTTGTGGGGGAAACTAGCCCACAACCCTATAGTATCCCCTCCCACCTGCCAGCTGTTTACAGTGTACACAGGTGGCCACAGAGAGGTGGGGCCATCAACAGGGAACTCATTATAGATCAGCCCCAGGACTGGGTGGGGAGGCCTTTTGCCCAGGGCTGATTCATGCTTACAGAGGACTCAAAAGACAGAACACGTGCACACTCGAGCGCGCGTGTGCACACACACGCACACACACACACACACAACTGTGGCCTCCAGTGTCAACAGAGACCTGTGAACTGCAGTTAGAGCAGGGGGCAGGTATGGACCTTCCCATCCCTACCCCATGTCCTGTTGCTTGCTTTTCTGGGTAATTTTTCCCCTAACAACACAGGAAGAACTCAAGGCTATGACTTGGATCACTGTGGTAGGCCATTCACTTCCTTTGCTCATCTGTGAAATGGGCATCCTGCAGCTTAGCTTAATAGCCATCTTACATGTAAAAGTCCCTCATCATTGGATGGAGGCATGGTCCTGTCAGTAGAGTGCTGGCCTTTCCAGCATGAGGACTTGAGTCTGATCCTCAGAGCCCATGTAGAAAACCAGACGTAGTGACGCAAGCCTGTAATCCTAGATCTGGATAGGCAGAGACGGGTGAATCCCTGGGGCTCACTAGTGGGATGCGTAGGTTCCAGGTCCTAGTGAGAACCCCTGTCTGAAGAAGCAAGGGCACGCCTGAGAAGCACTGGCAGCTCAGGTTGTCCCGTGCGCCTGTGTGTGTAAACATGCTTACCTCACCCCTGAGACACCGGGCAGTCTGTCATCACAGTTAGTCCTCTATGGGTGTTTTGTTCCGGGTAGTATTAAGAACAATGGGTAGAAACCTTGTGGAACACATTGTATGTGCTGGCTCCTCCAAAACACACAAGAGCTTAAGCCTGCAGGAAGAGCACCCCTGGGAAGCTGGGAAGAAGTGTCTTCTGGGGTCCTGCCCCAGAAACACACATTAAACTCTGCATTTGACCTTAACTACGTAAGGCCCTGAGAACCAACTAGCTGGTGTCTGTCACAGAGGCTTACCTGGGCTACTGTTCCTGGGAGCAGAAACAGTCAGACCTCACAGGAAGCAGTGGGTGCATTTGTAGAAGCAGCTGGAGTCTCAGTTTAGTTCCCGGGCTGGAGTGGAGACCACGGGAGGTGGGCTTTAGTGGGAGTTCCTCAGTATCTGGGTCCTGTTGGCCCTTCATTGAAGGCTCTCCTGAGGACACGGTCATGGTGTGGGTGATGATGCTATCCTGCTAGATCTCCAGGTTTGCTCTTCTCCAGGGACCAAGAAGAAAGGGAAGAGCCCCTTGAAGCACGCGGAAGTGTTCTGCTCCATCCCCTCCCGCTCACTCCTCTCCCCCAGCTACTACCACAGCTTTGGAGTCACGGAGAACTATGTGATATTTCTGGAGCAGCCTTTTAAGTTGGATATCCTCAAGATGGCCACCGCATACATGAGGGGGGTGAGCTGGGCCTCCTGCATGTCATTCTGCAGGGAGGACAAGGTGAGACCTTCCTGTCTCTCTGTCTCACCCCAGGGGCCACTGAGGAGGAGGCTACCCTGAGGGGCCGTTAACTGCCATTTAGTCTCTCTGCAGGCAGCTGCCACCATCTGGCAAGTTGTGATGTTGGGATCGTTCATCAGAGTGGTCCTATGTTAGGACATCCCAACTTCCAAATGCAGACTGTCCCGGGAACCGGGTGTGACCTTGGGCAAACAAGGCTCCCCAAACCATCCCCAGATGCACAGTCGCTATGGGATTGAGTCCTCACCCATCGCTGGGGCCTGCACACCCTCTGGGGAAGGCTCCTTCAGCACCTCTATTCTCATCATACAGCGTTGGGGGGAGGGAGTCCTGGATATGGGGAGCTTAGCTATCAGGATGACACTGGGTTCCACAGATGGGAGTGAAAACATCTCCTTCAGTTAGATGTGCATGAGCGTTTCATTCATGTGCAGATGAGTGTCTACATGTGTGTGGCATGCATGGATGGATGTTTAACACATGCGTATGATATGTATGTATTATGTATGTATTTGCTGTTGCTGCTTTTGACAAATATCCAACAATTCTCAATGTTATTTATTCAGATAAAAACACACTAGTATAGGAGGCCGCACATAAAATCCCTTTCCGTGCTGGGGATGTGGCTCAGCTGGTAGAGTGCTTGCCCAGCATACATGAAGCCCTGGGTTCAATTCCCAATACTGTATAAGTAGGGCATGGTAGTGAATGCCTGGTGCCAGCACTCAGAGGAGGCAAAGACTGGAGAATCAGGAGTTTAAGGTCATCCTCAGCTACACAGCAAGTTAAAGGCCAGCCTGGGCTACATGAGACCTTGTCTCAAAATTATGCATCTATTTTAAACCCCCTTCCCACCAAGCTCTCCACCACCTCCCCTCCTCTTCCTTCCTGTCTCCGCTCCCCATTCTGGAGAAACTCACCATTATCAATTGACTCTTCACATCGGTGCTTCCGGACACTCACACCCACTTCCATTTACAAGTACAAATATGCCCGCTAGCCACCCATCGTGTCTCCTCGGGAGAAGAATGAGGCAGAAGAGATCCACCCCTGATGATAACCTCCTAGAGATTTCTCAGAATACCATTCAGACGTTCTATTCACCAACCCCTCGGTTCCCTCACACGTCCTCCCACTCCTCGCTTGTTCAGGGTATCTTCTCTGATGTCCAGCTGCTGAGGGCCTCCCGGTCTTCTGTTCCTCCTGGAATGAGATGGCTTCCTCCCTCACTGGTCTGACTCCCCAGGCCTTCTTTCCTGAGCCTCTCTGCGGAAAATCCCATGCTGGCTTTCCCCAGCCCCCACCCCTACTTCATTTTTCCTGAGAGTGCCCTTTGTCCTTGATGTGTTACCGATTTTATGCTTCTCGTGGGTTTCCCTCCACACATGTATAGTCCTTGAAAAGAGTTGCTTCGTCTCTCTGTCCCAAAGAAGTACCCAGTACTCAGAAAAGCTTCATGTATAGTCCTTGAAAAGAGTTGCTTCGTCTCTCTGTCCCAAAGAAGTACCCAGTACTCAGAAAAGCTTCTTATTCGTATGTGAATGAACAGAAGTCAACTCAGGTTGAGTACTCCCTGCAACATCTTCAGAGACACTGGGTTTCTCCTACTGCCAGGAGCTTGGAGACCTGTAAGTCTGGAATCCGTGGCTCTGAGGAGGCCCTGGGCTACAGGGTTCCAGGCTTCAGAAGTCAACTGGAAGTAAATGCTTTCATAAAATTCCAAGTGCCCAGCCTAGGGTTGGGGTCACGGTGAAGAAACTGCCTAAACCAATCACTCCTGTGTTTACCTGTCCACACTGACACTCCCCACCCCCATGATGTCACAGCTGTCCTCTGTGGCCTCCGAGGGAGGGGAGAAAACAACCAGACTAAAGAAGCCACTTCCTCCTTCAAGAAGGTAATGAAGACAGAGCTGCTGAAAGAGCGAGAAAGAGGTGGGGGGGGTATCAGACAACTGACCTGTAGTGATAGCTCCTTACCACTCAGGATGATATTAGCCACACACAGCCAGGCCACCTGGGCCAGACCTGGGCCCACTCCCCTGCAGCCCTGTGACTAGCAGCCCTGGGAAGTGGGCTCTGCTCTGCAGTATGTGGGAGAAAGGACCGAAGAGCAGGACCTTAGGAGTTTCAGCCTCACATAGACCCTGGCATTTAGATTCTACCAGCATGGGTGTGCCCAGGGAGCTTGTCTATTGCTGAAACCACAGCAATGTATTCTTGGAGCCCTCCCCAAAGGCCGCCCAAGAACCTTGGTGGCAAAGTTACCCTCCTATGGTCTGTATGTCACAGAAATGTTGCAGAGCAGCTCCATTCACTGAAGGCTTCTCAGTTTGGCAGGATTTTGTTTCGTTTTATAGTTATTTAAGTGTGTGTGTGTGTGCGTGTATAAACCGTAGTTTTAATCCTTGGTGGCAATTGCCCAGTAGTGTACTTGCTGAATTGAATGACTGATAGATGAATGGATGGATGGATGGATGGATGGATGGATGGATGGATGGATGGATGGATAGGTAGATAGGTAGATAGCCAGACAGACAGACAGATAGACAGACAGCCAGACATGTATACACAAGCACAAACACAGTGAGATCAACCTCAGGTGTCATACCTACCTTGTTTTTTGAAACAGTATCTCTACCTGGCCTGTGGCTTACTAATTCAGACAGATTAGTCAGCCAGAAAGTACCATGGATCCTCCTGTCCCTGCCCCCAGCCCCAAGCACTGGGATTATAGGTGTGCACCACCACTCCTGGCTTCTTCACGTGGGTGCTAGGGAGCAAACCCAGGTCCTCATGCTTGCGCAGCAAATGCTGTATTAACCGAGCCATCTCTGCAGCCCCTTGTCGTAACTGTTTATTAGAAAATATTCAATATATAAAGCGGTAGATTTATAATGGTATTTCCACTCAAGCGTATCGTGCACTTTATATTCATCCCCTATTCGCCTTCTACTTTCATTCACATATATAGAGATGTAATTTTGAAAGAAAAAAAAAAAAAAAAACAAAACCCAGCCTTATCTATGGGTGGACACCTTAGCTGATTCTGTAAAATTTGGCCATTGTGAATAGCACTGCCTGGCCATTTGAGGTGGGTACAGAGCTCAGAATGGGGAAAGGGACATCCATATGGCCACAAGCTAGGACAGGCCTGGGTGTTGTGATCTCTGGCGTATCAGACAGTGAGCTGACCCCTGGGTGGGTGTCTTCTTTCAGACTTACATTCATATCATCGACCAGAGGACCAGAAAGCCTGTGCCAACCAAGTTCTACACAGACCCAATGGTGGTCTTCCATCACGTCAACGCCTATGAGGAGGATGGCTGCGTTCTGTTTGATGTCATTGCCTATGAGGACAGCAGCCTCTACGATCTCTTCTATCTGGCCAACCTGAACCAGGACTTTGAGGAGAATTCCAGGCTTACTTCAGTGCCCACCCTCCGGAGGTTCGCTGTGCCCCTCCATGTGGACAAGGTAGTATGTTCTGCCTTCTGGACAGCGCTGAATCTGGGCAGAAATTATTTTTGACACTGGTTGACATTGAATTCCACAATGAACTGGTATTTCTTTTTTGTTTTGTTTTGTTTTGCTTTGCTTTGCTTTGCTTTGCTTTGCTTTGCTTTGCTTTGCTTTGCAAGGATAGAACCCAGGGCCTCACACAAAGTTTACCACTGAGCAACATACCCTCTCAGCCCCAGTCCTGAAGCATTCTTCAAAAAAAAGTTCAGTGTTTTTCTAAAACCAGCTAGTTTCTGTAGAAACTTTAGGATATATAAGTTAAGGGGAAAAAGGAAAGAAGGAAGGAAGGAAGAGAGAGAGAGAGAAAAAAGAAAGGAAGGAAGGAAGGAAGGAAGGAAGGAAGGAAGGAAGGAAGGAAGACTTAAACCTTTAAACCTGGGTTGGAGTGGTAACATAGGCTGTTGCCAGCACTGAGGAGGAGGAGGAGGGTGAGGCCAGCCTGGGCTATGTAGTCAGACCTTGTCTGAAACAAATGAATGATCCCCATGAAACCCACCGTGCAAGATGAACGCTGTATTTATTCCAGTCTCTCTGAATACACATTACACAATTAGACAGACAGATGGATAGATACGAAGATACGTAGACAGATAGATACATACATACACAAATGAACATGTATATTTTACTTGTATCTCTTCTTTTTAAAAATTTTATTTATTTATTATTTAGACAACATTCTGTCTGCATGTATGCTTGCACACCAGAGGAGAGCACTAGATCTCACCATAGATGGGAGTTGAACTCAGGACCTTTGGAAGAACAACCAGTGTTTTGTTTTTGTTTTTGTTTTTTTTACACATAAGTGTGCTCTATCTGTAGATCACTTGCATGACAGAAGAGGGCATCAGATTCTAGTATAGATGGTTGTGAGCCACCATGTGGTTGCTGGGAATTGAACTCAGAACCTCTGGAAGAGCAGACAGTGCTCTTAACCTCTGAGCCATCTCTCCAGCCACACAACCAGTGTTCTTAACCCTTAAGCCATCTTTCCAGCCCTGCTTGCATCTCTTCAACAGTTCTATTGAGATATAATTCACACACTATAGACTTCATCCATTTAAAGAGTTGAATTCATTGTCCTTTGTTATAGTCAGAGCCTCCATGCCCACCCTCAGTTTTGGCCATTTTTACCACCCTAAAAGAAATCCCGTACTCTTCGCCCTTTAGCCGTCATGTTCCAGAAATTCTCCCCTTGCCCCAGGCAACCACAGATTTCCTCCCAGCCTGTAAGGTGTCACCTGTACAAATACATTATGTTGGCAGAGTCTTAAAGCACCCAGCCCGGCACTTCTGGCTTCTCTTACTCAGAAGTGTTTTCTTCTTCATCCATATCGCAGTCTGTATCCACATTTCATCTTCTCACATGGCCAAGTGTCTCTTGCCTTCTGCCTTTTTAAACAATTATATATCTAGACATCTCTCTGTGCTCTCATTTGAAATATTCAGCTAATGGTCCAAGGGAGGGATCCAGTACCACCAGCCTGCATGATTCTCCTGCTTGAACTACTGTTCTTAATATTGTGCATGACCCCTGGGGCCAAGAGTCCTTTTCAGTCAGGGTGCTGCTGTCACGGCTCTGAGCATGAGGAAGCTCCTGGCCCCAGAACTCCCTGACTTCATGATATAATTAATTTAAATGGAACCAAATTGAACTCAATTAAAATGTGACAGCTCCCATTTACTGAAGGAGCCCTCTATGCCAGGTGCTTTGCTATGCATTTTATCTCGTTGTGTATTTTACATCACTTAATGACTAAAACAATTTATGGGAAAAGTTGGGAGCCTCATTTTAAGAGCTGAAAAAAAACTGTAAAATGTAAAAACATTGGTGTGATGAAATACCATGACCAAAAGCAACTTGGGAAGGAAGGGATTTATTTGGCTTACACTTCCACATCATAGTCCATCAGTGAAGGAAGCCAGGACAGGAATTCAAACAGAGGCAGGAGCTGATGCAGAGGCCATGGATGGGCCTGGTCCTTACTGGCCTGCTCCTTATAATTTGTTTAATCTCCTTCCTTCCTTCCTTCCTTCCTTTTCTTTCTTTTTGAAGATTTATTTTTTTCATATATTTTATGTATATGAGTGCCCTGTCTGCATGTATATCTGCACGCCAAAAGAGGAAATTCCATTATAGATGGATGTGAGGCACCATGTGGTTTCTGGGAATTAAACTCAAGACCTCTGGAAGAACAGCCAATGCTCCTAAAAGCTGATTCATCTCTCCAGCCTCCCAGTCTACTTTCTTGTAGAACCAGGACCACCAGCCCAGGGGTGGCATCACCTACAATGAGCTGGGCCCTCCCCCCATCAATAACTAATTAAGAAAATGTCCTACAGCCAGATTTCACGGAAGCATTTTCTCAGTTGAGGCTCCCTCCTTTCAGATAACTCTAGCTTGTGTCAAGTTGACATAAGACTAGGCAAAACAGGGGTTTAAAGAATGTTTGGTACAGTGAGGCTCTGAGTTTGATCCCTGATATGACATTGAACAAGAAAGAAAGAAGACAGCCAATTGAGCACATTGGCATATGCCTATGATCCCAGCACTCAGGAGACTAAGGCAAGAGAATTGCAAGGTCAAGGCTAAGTTGGTAGGCTACCTGGTAAGACCTTAACATCTGTTGTTTTTGTTTTAATTGTATTTTTAAAGGGGGAGGACGAAGGAAGCAGGCAGACAGGTCTCTTGGTGCTTATAATCCTAAGGACTCAAGAGACTAAAGCAGGAAGGTCTGAATATTTTAAGGCCAGCCTGGGCAACTTAGGGAAACCCTGCCTCAAAATAAAAATAAAATCTAGAAACCAGGACAAGAATATACTATAAGTTCAATGATATTATGCTTACCTAGGCCCTAGGTTCAATTCTTTCATAGTTCTTTTAAAAAAAATACTGGGATTTGAGGGGACTTAAAAGTATCAGAAAGTATTCGCTTCCCACCCTCATGAAAAGAGCTATTGTGTGATCAACACCCCATAAAAGTCTTGCCAGCCCTGCCTCTGCACCCCTTATACTGGGAAAGCCCCACAATGCAGCACTAAGGAGTGTCCTCTGGTCTAGGAAGATAGGGTGTCACAGAGCACACAGGGCATGAGTCACAAGGCTGAGCTCAGCCCAGGGCTGAGGTAGGTAGAGAGACATGCTTCCTCCCTGCCCCCACTTAAGGTTTTATACCCTTTGATCACACAGGGAAAATGGCTACTTCCTCAGAACCAAGCTTGAATGGTTTCTATATGTGTCTTTAAAAGCCACCTTGTAGCCACCAGGTGCTTTGAAATCAGCAAAGAAGAGCAAACCCTTGGATGGGTGGCTCTGGCCACGCTGCTTAATTGCTGTTTATTGTCCCTTAAAGATGGCTTCCCTGCTTTCAAGTCACTCAGCCACCTGGATGTACAAATGGGAAAGTTGGGTAGGTGGACACAGCCACACACACCCTGTTCCAAGGGCCTGGCTCCATTCTAAGCCCGGGTTAGGAAAGTTCTGCCTTCTCAAATGCCCTCCACTCAGGGGCCTTTGGCCATCAATGTCCCCTCTGCTGCCCTACTGGCCTATTCTGGAGTCCTGCCTACTCTCTCCAGTTACAGTTTGGAGTCATCTGTAGCACTTTCCCAGCCCATGCTCAGGCTGGTGTCAGCTGAGCTGGACTCAAAGCATCCTGAGTGATTGTAATATGTGCTGAAGTGGCTCTCTGGGCTTAGAGAGTTCTTCGTCCTTCAGGTCTCTGTGCACCCCCCTCTCAGGAGGGTGTGTACACAGTGGAACCCTCTAGGGTGACACTCAAGCTTGCTTGATCCCCTCTTGCTGCTGAAACACAGGCTCCTAGAAGGCAGGGACTCCACCTAGCAGCAGGTCATCCTTGCACTTAAAAACTCTTAAACATGGGGAATGAATAAATACATGAATGCATGAATGGATGGAAAACGTGAGGCCAAGTCTCTCAGAGGGCACAGTTTTCCTGTTAGCATTCATGACGTTCCCAGGGAGCAGTGCTTTATGCCCAGAGCAGATAATGGGGGATTATTCTCAGAGAACTAGGACCTCGTGATTACCCCTGATGCTTAGACCAGCTGAGGTCAAAGGAAGGCAATGTGGAAGGGCCCCCAACACCCCAGCTGTTTATGTAGTGCTGCGGGCACTCTAGGTGGGGCTCTGCAGGGGAGGAGGAGTGGCAGGGAGGAACCTCGGCATGTCCGGACAGTGGGCCAGCTGCCCTGCCCTCATCCCGAAGGGCGCCACAGCATGTTAGAGATAGGTTTGTGAGCATTCGCTGTCATGGGTCAGAGGCAGCCACAGGAGGCATGCTAGACCAACATGAGGTAGCTTCGAATCCTGGGCCAGCAGATTTGGGCTTTGCCTCCAAAGGCAGATGTGAATACATGGGAATAAGACAAAGCAGCATCCATGGAGGGCATACTGAGTGTGGGCCCTGCGTTAAGTGGCTTTTCTGCTCTGAGACTTTTATGGTGGGATACTCTGCTCTGAGATTGCCACTTTAGAGACTTCAACCTGTCCCTTCTGTCTCCAGCATGGCCCATTCTCTATGAGATTCGAAGTTCAAAGGGCTGAGGGGTCTTACCTCCCAAGAAAGGCAACTCTCCATCACACCTACCCATTCTTCGGATAACTGGGGTACCCACTGGTTTGAGAGTTGGCCTCTGTCCTCCTAAGAACAGGGGGTATTGCTGGTGTGTCAGACTGGCTGGGACTTAAGGTGCTGAGTGGGGTATCTGTGTGGCGCTCAGCAGAGCCTGGAGTGAGAGGCTATCACTGGGCCATTTAATGTGGCTAAGAACTAAGGGGTCTTGGGCTTCTCAATCCATACTCCTTCCTCCTTCCCTCTGAGACAGAACCTGCTATGCTGCATGAATATTCTCTCTAATGTTCTCTCTGCCTGTCACGGTAGCTACCAAGCACAAGTGTGGTGGTGGAGCATGGGAGATGCGGCTAGCATTGGGGCCCACGGAACTTTCAATCTCATTTTAAAGTCTCAGTAGCCACATGTGGCTCTTCTCTGTGTCACTTCCTTCTCTGGGACTTGGCTTCCTTTACTATAGACTGAGGGATTGAATGGGGCCCATCTTTAAAGACCCCAGCAAACCAATTATAGCAATGCAATCAACTTGCTCTTCTCTCCGGGGGGGGGGGGGGGGGCTGCTATCATTCAAATAGGTTGTTTTTCATCCTAGTGATAAAAGCACCTGTGTCTGGGCAGGAGCGTGACTTGTTCTTACTCAGTTAGCTTGCTACATTTAGGTGTAGGACTGTGGGCCTCAACTCGGGCTATTGCTCCAGGCCCTGCAAATTTTAAGAACTGTTAACCACTTTGCCAGTTCACATTGCAGCCCTCTGAGTTATGCTTTATCCCAGAGTCCACAGTTAAGAGGGAAAGTAACTTGCCCAACGTCAAAGACTCATCATTGGGATTGTGTCAGGATTTGAATTCATGTCTGTTGTGTTATAACTGCCTTTGGCCCAGCACCAGATGCTTACATAACCATAACTTCCTGAGATCAGACAGAAAACTACTCTGTTTTACCCCATTTACAGATGGGGAAGGAAGCCAACACAGTGGGGTCAAGGGTCTTCTCAAAATCACATAGCAAGTGGTGAGTTCTGATTCCACACAGAAGCCAGTGTCACCTCCGCTGCTTGTGGGCAGGTTTCTGAGCTCCCTACTTTCCCTGGGAAATCCCCTCTGGCACCAGGATGGCAGAGCAAGCCTGTGAGATTTTTGGTGAAATCTGGCTGATTTCTTTTCAATGCTGTGCAGGGGTTGGCTGCTAAAAGCAGCCGAGTCATGTTAGGTTACTGCTGTGTGTGGAAAATTAAAAGTTTATCCCTTAACCAGTCTGACCAGTTTCAGGCTGGAGCTAGGAAAGTCTTTGTAGCAACACCCTGTGAGTCAAGGCTGGACATGCCTTGGGCGGGGAAGGGGCGGTACAGAGTGCGGCTATCACGTGCCCAGCGAGGCACCAGCACAGTATAAGCTACTACAATGGACCCAGCATGGGGCTACTTGGTTCACAGACTTGGTTTCATTGGGTTCTTCTACCAAACTGCAAAGCAGGCATGCTCTTTGTTCTTTGGCCATTGAAAGTGAAGGAATAAAAGCTCATTGAGTCATGTATTCGCTTCATGGACACCATGTGTCATGCAGCAAGCAAAATCTGGTCTGACATCATGGAGAAAATGACCACAAAGAAGGACAAAGCTTCATGAATGAAATAATTGCAGCCAGGGACTGCTGCCTCATAGACACAGCAGGTTCAGACTGAGTGGTTAGGGAAGGAGATGTTTCAGCTAAAACATACAGGATGGGGAAGGATGTCTCTCTCTGCCCTCTGTCTAAAACATTCTTGCCTCTGGGAGAATCTCAATGTGAAAAACCATGGGGCCAGGAGCTGCTTCTCTCTGCGTGACTTTTGACAAGTTGCTTTCCATCTCTCGGCCTCAACTTCCTCTTCTGACAGTCAAGGGATTGAACTAGATGAATAATCTCTAAGGACCTTTCAGTTCAGCTACTGGTCTGTGGTAAGTTTTCTCTTTCCTAGCTAAAGAGCTGCTGTCATTAAGATGGGATGTTTTGGGGGTGGTAGGCTTGGGAGATGACTCAGTCCCTAAAGTGTTTGCCATCCCCAGTATCCACATGAAATACAAGCACAGCATTGAGTATCTGTAATCCCAGCACTGGAGAGGCAGAGACAAGCAAATCTCTGAAGCTGTATGGCCACTTAGTATAGCTAATTGGTGAGTTCCAGGTTCAATAAGAGACTCTGTCTGAAAAAAAGAGGGTGGAGAAAGTCATCTTTTTCTCCTTTGCTGCTCAAGGACCCATGATCATATATGGCACAGTAACCATTTAACAGACCTACCATCATGAGTGACATAGTAATCATTCAAGAGACCCACCATCATGAATGACACAGTTTAACAGTTTAACACACCATTTAACAGTTCTCACCAGGAAGTTCATGACTAACCGTTTGCTTCAGAGGAAACACGGTCATTGATGTCCTTTGCTCTGGGAAGGTAACAGTACCAAAGACAGAAATGCAGGAAAAGCTAGCCATAAAGTACAAGACCACACCAAACATCACCTTTGTATCGGAATTTGGAATCTGCTTTGGTGGTGGCAAGACAGCTGGCCTTGGTGTGATCCATGAGTGTTTGGATTACGTAAGGAAGAATGAGCCTCAACATAGACTCTACTAGAAGACTTCCAGGAAACATTGAATGGAACCAAAGATGAGGAAGATCGGGGGCGGGGAGGCCTGCAAAGGCCGTTGTTGGTGTTGGCAAAAGGCAAAGGAAGTGGAGAGTCGCAGTTCTTTCTTCTGCTGTGATGGTGTGGGTTTCTAAGAAGACAGATAAACTAAAAACTTGCATGTGAAAAAAAGATAAGGTGGAGAGCAATTGAAGAACACACCAGAGGCCAACCTCTGGCCCCCATACACAAGCACACCATGCCCATACACATGCCGGCAATTTAAAGTTAAAAATGATGTTGAAAAATTGGACAGGAAAGATGTCAGCCATAGTGACAATAAAATGCTTGTATTCCTTCATTTGGTTTATCTTTCCATACATGCAGTGACTTAGAATCAAGTATGCTCCAAAAATGTTCAATGAAAGCCCCCTTCTAAAGAAAAATATTTTTGAGACAGGGTGTCTCTGTGTAGGGCACAGAGATCTGCCCACCTCTGCCTCCTGAGTGCTGGGATTAAAGGTGTGCGCACCATTACTGCCTGACTGAAGAAATTATTCTTAAGTGTAAGACTGCATGCTGTTCTGATTAACAGTCAAAGATCTCAGACTTGCTCAGAACACATCATTTTGTACAATGTATCCATTCTGTATATGCTACCCACCTATTAGTCATCCTGTAGCTGTCTCAGTTGTCAGATCAATGCTGCCGGTTACATCACTTGCGCGAAGTGTTCAGTGTTACCTGAGTTTCAGACCTCGCTGAGGGCTTGGCGTGAACGCTGGGAGAATAAGTGCGAGGCCGTAGACCTACTGTGTAGCTGCAAGGATGTCATCATCAACAAGAGTGTTTGTCTAGGTCCTACCACAAACTGTTTGGCAGGCGACGTCATTTAATCTTCGCAATCAGCAGAGAAGCGAAGAACCGCAGAGAAGCCGAGTACTTGCCCCAAGTCCCACGCTTGGCATGTGGAAAATAGGGAGGCCTCCACTACCTGCCCTGTTATTCGTATCTGTGACATTTCTCACACTCTCATCCCAGTGTTCTTTATTAGCATATGGTTGAGCTCAGACCCTGTGTGCAATTGGCTCTGAGGCTTTCTCTCACGGCTACATCCTAAACATGTGTGTTACTGTAGACTCCTCAAATGTCCATTGAATGATGGAAGCCCCTTTTTACAGGTAAATCACCCGGCATTTAAAAAGGGAGACCTTAACTCTTTGGAGCATATTATTGTTCTGTTGGAGAGAGAAAGCGCCTGGACAGATCCTGACTTTTCCTCCCACAGGTTGTGCAGCCTTGGGAGAGTCTGTTACCATTGGCATTCTTCATTAGAGTTTAAATGATGGTTGTGTTTTTAAATGTATGTATTTAATGTATATTAAATACATTTTTAATATACATTAAAATGGCTTTTTGTCTGTGTGCTTCTGTGTGCAGTGCCTCTTGGAGGCCAGGAGAGAGCATTGGATCCCCTGGGAGTAGAGTTAACAGATGTTTGTGAGCTAACGTATGGTGCTAGGACTGGAATCCAGATCCTCTGGAGAAAGGATGGGCCATCTTACTTATTTTTAACTTAGAATAACAGCATGAGATAGCTGTTTCCTGTGGTTACTGAGAGGCCAAGCAAGGCTGTTGTTTTGAAGCTTTGTTCAAATGGATAAGGTAAAACAAGGGTTTATGGGAATAACCTTTTCTTTTCATTGTTTTTTTTAAAATTATTCTCTTAAGAATGCAGAAGTGGGCTCAAATTTAATCAAGGTGGCATCTACAAAAGCAACAGCCCTAAAGGAGAAAGACGGCCATGTCTACTGCCAGCCCGAGGTTCTCTATGAAGGTAGGATGTGTCCTTTCTCACAGAAAGTCCCCAAATCCCTTTCTGTGGCACCTCCCTTCCACACAGGACAAGGAAATGCAGGGAAGGTTCTTAGGACCCCAGGCAAAGAATTTGGGAATCTCTTTTGAATAGCTTCTAACCCTTCTGATGCCTAGATGCATGACATTTTGCACAGTTGATGTAGGTTAATGGCTGTGATATATTAAACAGGCATAGTAGGCTCCTGTCTCTCCCTCTGCACTGTCACACTTTGGGTGCTATTGGTCTACTGGGCCTGAGAGATGCTTAGCCACACACAGTGTGTAAAGCCACAAGCCAGGAGCCACGCTCATGGGCCCACGTTCCTGCCCTGATGACATGTGAGGTAAGTATTCTTTGTGGTACTGCAGTGCTGGCATTGAAGGATGCTCAGAAACATCCCTGGATTCTAAAGAGCCCTCACCCTAAACCAGAGCTAGCCAAAAGCTCTCTGGGAAGTGCCATTGTCCCACAGGGCTGAGTTTCTGTGCCATGGAGCCTTATGTATAAAAGCCTGCATTTCATATTTCCGAGTATATAATAAAGCTGGATGTGGTGTTGAATACCTGTCATCCCAGCATCAGGAGGCAGAGGCAGGAGGATTGCTGTGAGTACCAGGCCAGCCTGGGCCACATACTGTGTCCCAACAAATAAAGAAAGAAACATTATATGCCTGTAATACCAGCTCTTGGGAGATGGGGGATAAGGGATGGGTTGTGGTCATGTTCAGCTCCATAGTGAGTTAAAGGCCAGCATGGGCTCCATGAGATCTTGCCTTGAAACAAACAAAACCAAAACCAAAATGACTGGATAAAAAAAGTAATTGAAATAATGACAGCTGCAATATGGAGTGTCAGCTGGCACTCATGAATGCTGACCCCATCAATGCTTCTAAACTTTCTCCTTGTGACATAATGGACACAACTCTATAATTAGCCTTTTTGTGTTTACCTTGCCATATGGACACTTCCCGTGCTACACAAATCCTTTAAAGACATCCTTTTATAAAGATTAGAATAGGATTATCCAAACTTATTTTATTTACTTATTTCAGACAGGCTCTTATTCTGTAGCCCAGGCTGGCCTTGAACTTGTGGTGATCCTGTTGCCTCAGTATCCCCTAATACTTACACAGTGATTGCACCATCTGAGTGCAGAAGCCCTTCCAGTGGATTCTGAAGTCTCTTTTCACTCTCACGTGTGTTTACACATGCACGCACGCACACGCGCACGCACACACACACACACACACACCTGTATTTTTAGAGAGCCTTTTAAAAATTGCAGCATCCTCTGATCTAAATCTGTAAGTCTCTGATTTCTATCAAGGATAATTACAGGTACTTATGTATTTAAAGCCCCCTGGTCTATGACACCTCACTCCTGAACCTTCTGGCAGGGACGGCATCATTCTCAGAGGTCCCTCCCTCCCTGTGACCACCTTTGATGTAATCTGGGTCTGAATCAAGGTCAGGGTGGTACTTGGGAACTGTTTCTATGGAATGAGGCCCAGTTTGGCATGAAGAGGGCAGTTCCCCGCCCCAGTGAAGGGATTTCATCAGCGTCCTGTCCTCTTAAGGCCTAGAGCTCCCTCGGATAAACTATGCTCACAACGGGAAACCATATCGCTACATCTTCGCTGCTGAAGTTCAGTGGAGTCCCGTCCCGACCCAGGTACTGACCCCTGCGTCCTGAAAGTCCTCTGCGTGCAGGCTGGCTTCTCTGGACCCAACTTAATGTCTATAAAGTAGACTCCACGGGGCTTAAGGATTCAGGAGGGAAGTCAGGTGGGGTAATTGTGAAGTACGAATTCTATGTTCCATTTGCACTTAGTAAGCCCTAAATATGTGACACGCTGTGGCGGGCTCAGGGCAAAGGAAGTGGCAGGGAGTGGTGCCTCCAACAGCCAGCTCACTTCTCCCGCAGGCAAAGTGTGAAGGGAACTTTGGAGGATTCATTTTGTTTTTAAGTAGCCATTCCCGCAGTATTTACTACAGTTCAAAGTGCTGGCCAGGCACCACTTTTCTTTCAGGCTAACATTTTTATTTGCATCTAAAACTGCAGAGCTGATGAGATAGATCAGTGGGGAGGGGGGGGTGTTGTCAAGCTTGACAGCTGGAGTTTGATCCCAGGAACCCACATGGTAGAGGGAAAGAGCCAAGTCCTTCCCTCTGCCTGCCACACGCATGCTTGGCATGATGCAATGAGGCACGCCCCGCCCCTCAAACACACACTGTAAAATGCATACAGTAAAAATAAAACAACAAGTTAAAAATAATTTAATGTTTCTAAATACCTATAGAACAGAAATATTCACAAGCAAAAATTAATGTTCAAACACACTCAAGAGCACACACACACACTCCAAACCAGTTCCCCTAATTCCATACAGGAACAGGCCTGTGGGAACTTACAGGACCTTTCCTCTTTTATTTGTTCTGCCTTGATTCTCTTTTTTTTTTTTTTGGATGCCGGGACTCAACCCAAAACCTCAGGTGTTCTGGGCAGAGAGGCTCCACCACCCAGCTCCAGGGCCTTCGCTTTCAAGGCAACAAAAGAATTGTATCAGATTTTAATTAGTGGCATTAAACACCTCAATTATATAAGGTAAAACATTGTGACATAGTGCCAAATGCCAGAAAAATTCAGGACTGTGGGTTCTGAGCCCTCTGTGAGCCAGAAGACCTGTGTTTTGTTTTATTTTGTTTTGTTTTTGAGGAAAGCATAGGGAGAGGTGGTACTGGACTTACCTTGCAAGTGGTCCTCGGCTATGGAGATAAAAAGGCAACTTCAAAGGTGCACGTGTGTTGGAGGAAGTTTGGCTCTTCCCTTTCTGTGGCTCTGCTGCCTAGGACAGATGTCAGTTGGTGTTGGTGTCACAAGTGTAGGTTTGAGGGCTGAATCTCCCCTCCGTGGCCTACATACCCTTCTGCTCCGAGGGAGTCAGTGTGCTTACAGACACAGGGTCCCATCCTTCTCTTCTCTGCATACACAGATACTAAAGTATGACGTTCTCACAAAGTCCTCCTTAAAGTGGCGTGAGGAGTACTGCTGGCCGGCGGAACCACTGTTTGTACCCACGCCAGGTGCCAAGGATGAGGATGATGGTAAGAGTGGGAGAAGGGAGCCCGTGTGAGCACACTAACGAACACCCATCAAACAGGGGCACCACCCAGGGGCATCCCACAGGTGGGTTGCCTGATGAGGGTTAGGGTTAGGGTTAGAGGTGTGTCTAGGTATATGTCAGTGGCAAAACTACCACATTAAAAACTTCAGTTGCTTCTGAAGTCGAGTGCAAGCTCAAGGTTCCCTCCACCAGCTTCTGTAATCCACCAGGACCCCCAGAGCTCTTGGCCATCTGTAGTGTTGACCTTTGACAACCAAGCATTTCCGGGAAAGCTCCCCTGAGCTTGCTTGTCCTGGGATTTTACTATGGCTCACACTCATATGAAATTACTGATACCCTGAGTAGATGAGCTTCAGGGTTCAGCTCTTCAGAGGCCAAGCAGAGACCATGTGTTCCAAGGCTCCGTCATGATGCACATTGTCAGCCGGTTATGGTTTGTATGCCTGAGATATCAGCATTTGGGAGGTAGACAGAAAACAATCAGGGGGTTAAAGTCATCCTGAGCTACACAGAGAATTTGAACTACTAAGACCCTGTCTTAACAACAGCAACAAGATAGGTATGGGGGTGGATAGATAGATAGATAGATAGATAGATAGATAGATAGATAGACAAATAGATAGCTGATTGGGATGGATGGATGGATGGATGGATGGATGGATGGATGGATGGATGGATGGATGAAATTGTTAGAATATACTACCTGCCATAGCCCACAGTCTAAAAACTTCTCATAGGCAAGACTGTGACAAAGGCAAGGTATAAATTCTCTACTACACAGAGTCTATATCCTTTCCACTGAGTGACACACACTCTCTCAGAACTTGCAGCTTAGTTTCAAAATGCATTGCAAGGACTGGCCCCAAATCACAAATGACCTCTGTTAAGGCATGTAAAGTTTTCACAGCATCTGGGAATGTGGGTTTCCACAGAGCCAAATTGTCTTATACCCCTTTGCCTCAAAAATGCCCTGCCCACAGCCCTGGGGATACTCGGGAAGGTAATAAGCTATGGGTGGGGACACCACCCAGCCAAGCCAGGGATAGGGCTGCTCACACCTCCAGGGGAAGGCAGGCCATCCCACTGAGAATGCCAGCTTCTTCCCTCAGGTGGGAGGGAGTGGCTTTCCACCTGGCCTTGGCTTCCTTCTGATTGTACCCTGGTAAACAGGCAGGGGGATCCCATGTCACCGTCATCTCCAAGGCAAGGGGCTGTTGGCATCCACTCCTACTGAGGCCAGTCCCCTGCTTGGCCGGGCAACTGCTTCTCACGCCTTCTCTCCATGGGTGTGGAGTGACATTGTCCTCATTTCATTAAGGGGAGGCTCAGAGTGAGGCAAATTGGCCAAAGTCACGAGCCCCACAAGCAGAGGTTGGATTTGAATCCAAGCCAATCTGATGGCACACATGTCCAACTACTGCAACCCCGGTACTTTAGGAGGAATCCTGGGCACTTACTGGAAGTTTCCTCAACCTGCTGGACCTTGAAAGTAAGCCAGGGAATGGAGAACATCCCAATCTACAGACAAAAGCTAGGGTTACCAATACAACCAGGAGATGATTTGGTTTCATTCCAGTACCACTGCTAACAAGGCATGGCAACACATGGCCTGTAATCTTGGCATCTGAGAGGTGGAGGCAGGCAAGTATGAGCTTAAGGCCAGCCTGGGCTACATTGCAAGACCTGTCTCAAAACAAAACAACAGTGCAAATATGCAAATGCTTTTGCAATTCAAGAAGTCCCTGATCAACCAGGTGGCATACCTTAGCCCACATGTCCTTCCGGAACTGCTTGGTTCTCTCCATACTCAGAGGTTCCAAGCAGTAGGAAAGAAGCCATTCTTCCAAACAAATGAAAACGAACAACGTGCTTCCAGTATCCACCCTGCAGATCACCCCATGAGCACAGCACCCCATGAGCTTGGAGACGGGTGGGAATTATCTTCACTGCCAAGATGAAGAGCTGAAGCAAAGCAATTATCCCAGAAGTAGGTTTTCTGGTTCCAGATCTAGGTTTCTCTTCTGCCAACACAGACTGTCATATGTTCTCTTCCCTCCTGTTTGGATCAAGAAAGAGTTGAAAGAGGACAGGGAGAGACCGCTGAGAAACGTACCCCTCCAAGTGGAGGATACACAAGGCCATGCTTGGAACACTGTTAGGTATCTCTTAGGACCAGGGATGGAGCTCATAAGGAGAGTAGCTGTCTAGCCCCTGGGAAGGCCCTGGCTTACACGCTCAGCACTGCAAATGACATTATCCTGGGCTTTGTTTATCTTCTTGTAGGAGTCATCTTATCAGCCGTCGTCTCTACAGATCCCCAAAAGCTGCCTTTTTTACTTATCCTGGATGCCAAAAGCTTTACAGAATTGGCCCGTGCCTCTGTTGACGCAGACATGCACCTGGACCTGCATGGCTTGTTTATCCCGGATGCAGAACGGAGTACAGTGAAACAGGCCCCCGCCGAGGGGCAGGAGGATGAAAACTCAGATGACCCTGTCACCCCACAGGACAGCACCACGACCAGGCCACAGTAAGAATGACTTCACAGCTGGGTCTGGCGGCTCACACCTTTGGTCCCAGCGCTCTGGAGGCAGAGCAAGTCTGTGAGTTCGAGGCCAGCCTGTTCTACAACACAGGTTCCAGGACAGCCAGGGCTACACAGAGAAATCCTGTCTTGGGGGGGTTGGGGGTGGGGAAACTTAAAAAAAAAAAAAGAAAAAGAAAAGAAAGGAATGACTTCACTGGTGGGACCTGGGGACAGTAAGTGTGGATAATACTGTCAACTTGGACAGCATCTAGGATCATTTAGGAAACAAACTTCCACGAGAAGAGTTTCTTCATTGGGTTTACTGACAAGGAAGATCCAACTTGAGTGTGAGCAGCATCACGCCATCCCATGAACTGAGGTCCGGACTGAACAAAAAGGAAAAGGCTGCTTGAGTGCCAGCATTCACCTCTCTCTGCTTCCTGACTGGGGCTGCGCCATGACCAGCTGCCTCACACGCCTGATATCCTTCCTTCCCCACCGTGATAGAGTGTATTCTGGTGCCGTGAGCCAAAATAAACCCCCCCTCCCTTAAGTAGCTCCTGTCAGGTATCTTGTCCCAGCAATGGGGAGGGGAAGTAAGCTTGCACATTTCTCTGGGAGGAGGGGGTCACGCATTTCACCCTGCTGTTATTCTTTGTGAAAATGCCGTAATAAACCACCTTGATAGCTCTAATTCCATTTAATCAGAATCCTTGTCCAAAAAAAAAAAAAAAAAATCAAGTGATTACTAGTCAGTTCAATGTATTTAAGGAAGCCCTTTCTCTTCTTACAAAGGCCTTGAGGAACTGGGAAGGTGGCTCAGTTGTTGAGATGCCTGGCTATACAAACTTGAGAACCTGAGTTCAGGCGCCTTGCCCCTCCCGCAGTTATCCTTGTAAAAGCTGGGCATGGCAGCGTGTGCCTCTGACCCAGGCTCTGAAGAGGCAGAGGCGGGAGAGTCTGTGGAACCTGATGGCCAAACAGTGAGGGACCCTGTCTCAGGAAAAAAAAAAAAAGGTGAAGCAGGATAAAGGGAAACACCCAATGTCCACTCTAGTCTACACATATGTGTGCACATATATTCAAGTGTGCACACACACACACAGAGAGGCCCACACACATACACTTGAGAAAGACCTTGAACATGAATCAACAATTATATTAGCCATGTTATCATTTTTCTTGGAACAAGCAGCCACAAACATGAGAAAAGGTGGGAGTCATCACTGCTCCTTCCTCCATCTGCCTCTCCTTTCTCACCCCCCCCCCCCTGCCTCTAAAGGACAAAATTGTGGGTGGGTGTGGCCTTCTGGCTTTCTCAGTCATGCCCTGTTCATAAGTCATGTGACTAAGGGGGCATGTTGCTTTGTGGTCATCCTACACAAGAGGTAGCATAATATAAAAGAAGAGGAAAAAAAACTTGAAAGTCTATTCAGCACTTATTTGATTTTTATGTGGCTGTCTCTTCTAGTTCTTCTGAGCCTATAAAGTAGGGCTGCAGAATTCCACCCTTCCTGGTCTGTAAACGGCCCGATTGTCTGGTCAGTGAGTGTAGGTTTGTATGGGACCCTCTTCACAGGAGAGGTTATTAACCTGATGAACCATGGCAGAAAGACTGGAGTTCAGGGGGGAAGACCAAGGCCGGGCTGGCCTGAAAACCAGGGTGAGCCACAAGGGCATCTAAAGGGAAAGGAGGTCTATGAGCTGTAGTGCTTCAAGGTAGACCGGACATGTGGGGCAGAGCGGAAGGAGGTCCCCAAGCAAGACAGTGACTGGGATGGAGGAGGTCAGAAACAAGCCAAGTGGCCTCCTATCCGATTGCTGGGAGTGCCATAGTCATTTGAGCCTCACCTTCAAAGTCTAGTGGGTACCTAAAACACAGATTAAATTCCCAAAGGTTAAATTTGTAAGTGTGTTTGTGTGTTTGCACATGTGTGTGAGTAGTTCCAGTGTTATCACCTGTATAAAACTGGCACCTTCCTTTATTCGATATCACAGTCAAAATACTGCCTGGCCCATCAGCCCAAGGATCCTCAAGTGACTGTCCCTTGAGGACAGTCCCAAGAGGGACTAACCTCTTGTCCCTACATCCTGGCAACCACCACTTATAAAACTGTCGTTTCAGAAATGTTATATAAAACCAGTATCATGACCCACACCTGTTATCTTCCCATTTGGGAGGCTGAGGCAGGAGAATTGCCATGAGTTTGAGCCCATGCTGAGATAAAGAGTAAGACCTTATTTTTTGAGAGAGCAACAGGAGAACGAGGAGGAGGTGAAGGAACATGAAAGATGGAAGAGAAGGCAGATCATAAGTGAACTGTGCGTGTTGCCTCTTGTGAGGTTGGCCCTGTGGAGGCTCCTCTGGTTGTTGTGCATTTTCACTGCTCTGTTCCTAGCACCTGGTGTGATGTGGGTATTCAGTAAATATTTGTTGAATGAGTGAGTGAGTGAGTGAGTGAGTGAGGAGTCAATGAGTTTCCCTAGTAAACATATTCAACTCCACAGCACTCCAAGAGACACGTGTTTCACTGAAGAGTGGCTGGGAGCTGGGGAAGGCAGACCACACAGAACCCAATGCCAACACATAGTTACCCACCGACTTTCCTCCCCTGCAGTCCCTGATTTTTCCTGCCCCCAGGTCTACCCCATCATGGTCTCATCAGCCCCTTCTGCCACTCTCAGCATGTCCACCTCACCCTGAGTCTAGAGTCAGCAGGCATGGAGCAAGCAGAAGTGTGAGGACCACTGGAGCCATTCCCCACCATCTCCTGTGGGAATCTCAGCCCTTCAGTCGGGGAAGGTTGGAAATATCAGCGCTAGTGGCCTAGGGGAGATGCAATCAGAGCCTGGGTTTGGGTGGCAGGGGTGGAAAGGAGGTGATAATGGGACAGTCACGCACCCACTGGTGCTTCTGTTTGTCTACGGGTAGAGCGGAATGTGGGGTGCTTGTGACCCCACCTCCACGCTCTCAGCTGCCAAACAGCATCTCAAGAAAGGGCCCAGTTCTTCAGGGAGGTAACGACATTGGCTTGTTGACCTTATTTAAGATGACAGCTGGAATTCTATACTGCTGAGGGAGGCTGGCACACCAAATCCTGTTCTCTTGGTTTCAAAAACACACTAAGGATTGACGGCAGGCTCTTTGATTTATCTGGGGCCAGTGTTTTATAATCCTATTGCGTTTCATACTTGCACAAGCCAGGGTACTTAGCTGAGAACTCCATGCACACTACTCTCTCTAAAGGACCACAAAACAGTCTCCCTTCTCCTCCTGGACTTCCTGGTTATCGAGTGTGTGGGTGGGCAAGATGAACAACCAGGAAGTTCTGGGAGACAGGTATCTCTGGGTTTGTTTATTGCTTTCATCAAGAGCTATTTCCTGGAGTGTTCTGAGTCCAGAGGGTCAGATGCAGGGAAGGCTCACAGGTGTTTGTGGTGTCCACAGCAGGTTTCTCCAGTGTGAGTCCAGTTCTGGGACAAGCTGATGTGTCGCCTGGGTAAATCAGCTCATGAGAAACCTCATGCCTTTGAGCCACGTTTGCAGTATTGATTCATACTTGTTTCCTCCAGACCAAAGTTACTGGTGCAGGGCTCACAGCTTTGAACCAGGCTGCTGGTCCAGGTTAAGACAAAACACCTTTGATTCCCTCTTGCACTGTTTAAAGATCTCTTGGGTGGTTTTTAAATGCCCACAATCTTTCCTGTGGCAGATCAGGACACACACACACACACACACACACAAAAGCCTTCACCGTCTATATTATCCAGAGACACGCTGGGGGTCTCAATGTCTTCCTTGTGAAAGCTTAAATTCATGCCCACTATCACACAGGGCCATCTTGAGAAGCAGCCTTCAAGGTTGAATGCTAGGCAGGGAGCAGAGTGTTTTCCTGGCCACAGGACCTAGGAGAGGTGTGCAGCCCTGTATCCCAGCAGGCTAAAGATAAGCAAGGCTTCTTCCCTCTTCCCAGTGAACGGCAGAAGCCTCTGGGATGGATGGGACTTCCGGAGACACCTGAGAGGCCCTTGGAGGTGGAGGCTGCAGCTTGGGACTAGGATAGAGGCAGACTTGAATGAATGAACAAAGCAGGTATAGAACAAAGAACGGGAAGGAGACAAATGAGGGAGTGCGTGTGAGCTCTAATTATAAGTTACTGTGTGTTCGCGGTAGAAGTCCTAGCTAGATTAACATAAGATGAGAAAGACACCCAGAATCCCATGACCCAGAGAAAACCAGGGAAAGCATGGTAGTGTGCTTCCTATGGCTTTTGTTTGCAGGCAGAGTCTATTGGCTAGCGATCTATTTATAAGCAATACACCAGCTTGAAAACCTTCCACTTCTTGCACATAATGGGTAATGATCTTCATTCCATAGCTGCAAATTACTCCCTCTTTGGGACATGACAGCATGGGGACCACATACCATCCTATACTTTAAGTCATTTCCAATTTTTCCCTGTTGTAACTGATAGGTCAGTTAGCATAAAATCCTAGAGTTTCTCCCTTGCCTGATGATATTGTTTCCTTTAAAAAAAAAAATGTCTGCCAGTCAGCTTTACAACTTGGAGCATGAGGGGGCTCATGAGTCCCCGCCTCTAGCTGAGAAGCTATTGACAGTTGAGAGTGAAAGTGGTTTTCTTTAAGGGTGTGGTCCTGGGTGCTTGACTGTGCTCCAGCGGATGACCCCACACCCAGAAGTATATGAGCTGCACAAACTGGATTCCATGGGATATAAAAGGGGGGAGCAGGGTGGGGATGGGAAGCAGACAGTGGGTCCGGAAGAACTTAGAGGGAAGGTTTAATATACATAGAATGGTACGTGGATTTTTTTTTTTTTTACACAATATCATTTAGCTCAGGCTGGTCTTGAACTCACAGCCAAGGATGACTTTGAACTCTTGATCCTCCTGCTTCCATCCTCCAAGTGGTGAAATTACAGGTACATGACAGCACACTGTATGTGGAACCGGCCATAGAATCCGTGACTGTGAGCAATCACTCTCCCAACTGAGCTACATCTCCCAGCCTTATGTTGATTTTTAAATTTTTGTTGTAGTCATTAATTTATTTTGTGCATCTGTCTGCCTACCTGTGTCTCTGTACATATTGATCAGAGGAGAGTTTGTGAGTGTGGGTTCTCTCCTTCCACCATATGGGCCTTGGGGATTGAACTCGGGTTGTCAGGCAACTTTTGCCTGCTGAGCCATCTCTCCAGACCTATTTTTACTTTTGTGAGTGGCTTCTCAGCATAATGTTCTCATGGTTTGTCTATGTTTTTGCATGAGTCACTGTTTCAGTACTATTATGACAGAATGTTACTTACTGTCTGACTGTATTGCTCTTTGTTTGTCTGTGTATCAGTTGGTGAACGTTTGGGTGGATTCCTCTGTGGGCTAGCATGAACAAGTCTACTGTGGACATTCATACCCAACTCTTCTCCTATGGTGTGGACCATCATACATGGCCATGACCTCTAGGTAAGTACTCTACTGCCAAGTTGTACCCGCAGCACCACACATCAGTTTCATGTGGACATACATATTCAATTCTCCTGAGGATATACCAACTATGGAGTTGCTGGACACCACAAAAACTCTATACTTTAACATTTTGAAGAACTGCTAGACTATTTTCCTCTTTCTTTTATTTTCTCTCTCACTTTTCTCTTTGCTAACATTTACTCTTAGTCAA